TGCACTAAGTTACCCAAGGCCCTTGCTATCTCTGATGTCTGATTCTGTTTAGAGTGGGATTAACTGTATATAAATCACTCCCACTCTTGCGTAGTGCTTGGGCTTCTCAGTGCATTTTTCAGTGCGTTTTCATTAGTAAGTAATAGTAGATTAACCAAGCCAAGAATTATTTGTCTTTATAGGTAACGCTGAGTTTATAAAACTCTGTTCCATTCGACTTTTCCTATGATAGGAGGGTGGGTTACTCAAGATGGAAAAACTGAGCTGTGCTGATAAAGAGTGGGGAGATTTTCCTATTGCTTTTGGTCTCATCATRCAGGCTTCTCTGATTTGGCCTGAGAAGTGGAAGAATATGCTCAGCTGAATGGAAATAGGAAGAGAAGGTGGAGTGTTGGGTGGAATTCATTTTTTTTAGGAGACAGAGTGGGCTTGCTGCTTTATGTGGGAGCAGCCAAAGAGGCTGAGCAATGGCTAATGCCTCCAGACAGTGCTGTTAAATCAGAGAGAAGCTTGGCACACATTCTTGGGGATGGGGGGTCGGTCAGGGAAGCTCAGGGACATGAATCATTTGTGAAGCTGGATACTGAGGGTGATCAGCAGAAGGGATACATTGGTGTTGATGCCTGTGACTGCTTTGCCAGGCTGTGCTTCGGGGTCAGAGCGAGGCTTGTGGTTTAGAAAGTGGTCATCCAGAGTGTAAATGATGCTGTGCTTTGGGGGAAGATGCTTCTGGGGCTCCTTATTTTCCCCGTGAGGATAGGTGTGGTCRCGCAAAGGTCATGAGTGTACAGCGGCAATGGTATTCTTCCACACTCCAGACCTTTTTTTCATTTCCCCCCACAGCTCTATGTGTGTCGCCAGATCTTGCATAYAGCCTGTAAATCTCTCCTGTAACCTTTCAAGGGTAAAAAAGCGGGGTTTCTTTAAGTGTTTTTGGGCGGGGAGGGGGATATTAGTTGACAGCATTAGTTGTGCTGTGCTGAGAAAGTGCTCTGTGTGAGACAGAGGCTTCTCGGGGTGTTCTAAGAGAGGTGCAAGATTTTTGACTCCTAAATTAATTGAATTCAGCACTTATCAGTGAGGGGTGACTCATTAGCATGAACACTGCRCATAATATGTGGTTTTACTGTAAACTTCCCATTTTATATAGGGAAACTAAGGTTTTTCTTTGTTGCATCTCTGTGTCTTTGGCTCCCTCAAGGAGTTAATTGTAACATTGTTTGAAAGGWCTTGCTCTGATTTTAATGCAATTCAATGGAAGGGGAATAAAATGTCTGTATTGTTGTTTRCTGTGGTTTGCACAAATCTCACTATAAATCAGTGGGGAAGATTATCCTAATCTGTTTCCTGCATTTAAACCTAAAGATTGTATTGTGTATTAAAACACAAATTATTGAGGCCAAAGATTACCGCCACTTCAGTGTCTCTAGTTTTATAACTAGGTAGGTTTACCACCAACCTAAGGATGTTTTTTGTGGCTTGCATTCCTCCAGGCTGTTTCTTGACATTAAGCTAAAGGAAGATGAGATAGAGGACTAGATATTTAATTTTGGGGCTAATGTATAAAAGCACGTGATCAGCATTAGCTGTTGAGAATCCCTGGAGTTAAGCACTGATCTGCTGCTAACTTGCTGCAGCTATAAAATGACAGCGCTCARTATTTATTGCCACATTTGTTCTGAAAGTGGAGAAATGCCACTATTAGTAGAGATTGTTCCTTGTTAATACCTGTGATTCATTGCAGAAATATTGTTTTGAAGTGTCTTGATGCTCCCCCGTGAATTTCTAGTAGTCACTTCCTATCTTGTAAAACAGAGGAGTATTAATGGCGCTTCCTTTATCCCCCCTCTGGCAAGTGAACAGTTGTCATAAAGCTCTGCTGAATCAGGATRCTGACCTCTTTTTGCATCAATTCCAATAATTACATCCTTTGAGAGGGGTCTTCCTCCTTTAAACAGTGACAGAAAAAGGCAGCCCTCACCACTTCATGCATTTTTATCTCCACGGTTGAAAGATTATGAGAATTATGATGCACAAACCGTAATCTTAATATTTGTGTTTAACTATGTCTTATGGAAAAAATACAGTGAGAAGCACACTAAGCTTGGGAATGCTGTTTTTGTGTGCTTAGGCATGCTTTTTTAATCATGCTGAGGATTTGARTTTCAAATTCTATGCATAAAGTGCACTTATGTAGGAGGTGAAGTCTCTTGTGGGGAAAATAACTTGTCTTCTGACAGAAACACTCCTTCCTTTCTCACAAGGGGGATAATAACATATTAAGAGTGCTTGCAAAACTTGTTAATTAGGCTCTGCTACAGGTTCGTCAAAGAAGATGGTCCAGCTTTGCAGCTGCTCCATGTATGTACCTACAAGGAGTTTTCATCTCTTCCACAGCCTTGAAGTTGAGCACTTTGTCTTCCTTGGGAGCTATAATAAATCCTTTGTCCATAGGAGCCAAAAATGCTGAGGGAGTGGGAAGGAGAAAGACAGCCTACAGCAGACAATTCTTTGGCAATCTGTATGTGAGGAAAGAGTTCTTGTTTTCAATTCCCTGTGCACAGGATTTATTTGTACTTCATTAGCTGGTCTAATTAAACAGTTCATGTTTTTTGGTCAAAGCATATTTAAATTATAAAACAAAAAGTCCTGTTAAGTGTTGGATTTTGTGAGATATGGYATAATGTTTCACATCTTTAAAGCTTCTTTACATGATCTTTTTTTTCATAAAACTTTGAGGTTCTTTTGGTATGGTTTGGGTGGTTTTTTGCTGGTGTGGTGCRTAAAGAAAGCGAGATAAGTAATTGTATTTGTCTTGTCTGCACCCTGGCATTTCTGGTCTTTGCAGCACTCATCATCCTTGGTGTTACTGGAGGATAATTTAGGAGATTATTGGGCTCTTGCTGAGGTTCAGGCTCCTTTCCAATGCAGGTTATGACAGCTGTTGTGTAATTTAAACGCTTTCTCCAAAATTTGGGTGGGTGTAGCAGAAACAAAGTGGTATGCTTCTCTCAGAGCAATCTGAAATAATTTCTTCTTTATGATTGTCCCGTTTGGGGTGTTTTTTGTTTTGKTTTTTTTTGTTTTGATTTTTGGGGTTTGGGTTAGAGGTTTTTTTCTTTGCTATTTTACAAGTACTGCATTCCACCCCAGAAAAAGCTAAGGAATTTTCACTTGGCCATTGAGTGAAAAGGTTCTGCAAACTCTATTTTCCTTTTTTCCTTTTGCTTATTAAAGAATTTCATAAAATGCTGTGAGCCCATTCTCCTTGTGATTGATTAAATACAAGAATTTTGAATGAAACCCCTTGTTCACACACTTGGAAGCTGTCAGGGCTCTGACATGGCTTGAAAATGACTGCTTAATTAGAGTAATTTAATTTGATTTAATGATTTTTTTTAACAACCTACTCAATTACCCCATACAGRTTACCTGCTGCTACCTACTGAAAGGGTGTGGCCTGTGGGAAATGTGTTTGTGTGTATATGGTGTATGGGATTTGTTTGTTTGTTTGTTTGTATGGGCGTTTTTTTGAAGAAATGTGCTTGAGTTTGTTCTCAGTTGCTCTCAGATAAATATGGGATTGAACTAAATAATATGTTTTGCTAGCGCTGATTGCTGTTCCTGAATGTTATTTAGGGTTGTATATTGTGGAAGCATTCATATATATATATATATATTTATATATATATTCTACTAAGAGTATATTGTGTATTTGGATTTTTAAAACTTGTAGTAGAGTGATTATATAGAACACAGCAACTTGCCTTACAATAATGAGATGCACTTTTATGAAAACAACTGAATCTTGCTTTGCTTATTGAACTGTAATTTACTGTTTGTGAGGAGTGATGTGAAACACAGTGACCCTGCATGACCTATTTGGATTTATGCTCCAGCCCCATTTCAGTTATTTATTTGTCTGACTAGACTTGTAAAACTTTTTCTACTTTTTTTTTCTAGGGTGGAGGGAGGAAGTTTATACAGCTGAACATCCTTGACTTTAAACTGTTCCTTCAGAAAGAATTTGTGTARCAGCTTAAACTTGTAGATTAAAGCAACTGGCTGATTTCATGAGGCTTACTGTAAAACTAGAAATGTGGAACATTTTTACCTAGGTGCATTTGTCAGTCCAGATGTTGCTCTCTCATTAAGTTTTCCTGCTGTGCTCTCAGAAAAGGCACAAAGTAACCACGCTATTTTAACGTGCTGTTCCTGTTTGGTTGGATTGGCAGCTGGAGCTTTCTGAMGGAAATTTTGCTCCARACACACACTTTCCTCCTTGAGAGTCTGCAGCTTTTCTSTTATGTTCTTTTTGTGTTTGTCTGACTGCTGCTTTCCTTCATGTGAAAGGGAGGAAGGGGGAACACGACTGTGATGGTGCACGGCCAAGTTACAAGCAGCTACGGTTCTTAAGGATTTCCATACTGCTCCTTATGGGGAAGAGCCCAAAACAACTCTTCCAGCAGTAACTCCTGTCTTACTCAGGCCATTCTGTCCGCTGTGCTGTGCTGGGCTGTCCTGGTTTGTGTCCTGCACGCTTTAAGGACAGTTTTGAGTTTGGTTAGTGGTTAGACTTGTGAATACAGCACTGGTGGTACTTCTGCTACCTGTGCAGAGCTGTGGTGATAAGATAATGAGGTTTTAATGGGTGACTTTGCCACTTTACAAGTGGTTGTCCTGATGATAATATTGAAATTGGTAGTGGTCAGAGAAATCTGCGCATGTATGAATGTRTTGCTGATCTGTTTATATGGAGATGTAGATCGTATAAAATGATACACAGCTGAGATTTTGGTAAAATCTTCAGTGGTCAGATTTAGGCTTACATCTAAGATTAGAGTAAGAAAGTTTCTCTTAGGTGGCTGTTAATCTTTTTTAGAGCTTGAGGGCTAAATCCTTAAAGGAWGATAGAGATATGCAAATTAAGTTCTGACTTGCCTGCCAGTGAACTGAATGGTATCAAGTTGGAATCTTACTTTCTTTCTTTTTTTGTTTAGATATTGAAGAAGAATAAAAAGCTCCTCAAAGGTTTGGAAGGTTGAATGTGATCACCATGAAGAGCTTAAAAGCAAAGTTCAGGAAGAGTGACGTAAGTATTTCTGMTCAGTTCGACTGCTGGTTTTCAKSCTGGAAGCAAGTTCTTCACTCCCACCTTGATAAGCTTGTAGGTTAATGAATTACAGAGAGGAAAACCTTTTTCCAAGCACAGAGGCAACAGCTGAGTACAGTATGGAGTTCTGTTTGTAGAGCTGTTCTCTGTTATGCAAATTAACAGAACTTTACTACCTTGGTCCTCATAACTGAATCACACACATCTGTGAGAGCTGCAGAACTTCTGTTAGATTGCACTGGTGCCCAGATTGAAACTTTGTTCCAGGTTTAGGATCAAGCCTAGTAAGGACTTTACTACCCAATCATATTTCTGTCCAAGCCTAATACAGTTCTTATCAGTGTGGTGTTTGAGCACTTAATGTAATGTCTCCCCAGTCTGTGCAGGGTTTTTTTTGTCAGCAGGAATACAGGAACCAGCTGAGCAATTAGGGCAGCTGTGGTTTATCACTTCCACTGTGAGAGGAGGGGTGGATATGAGGCTGGAGGGTGAGGAAGGAAGACATAAATGTGGAGGTTCTCTGGAGAATCTTCACAACAGCGTTTAGAGAGTCACGAGACTGCACATCATTTTGCTTTTAGTAGGGGTATCAGTGGAGACCCAAACTTCTACATGTTAGTAAACAATTCTTCCCTTGGAGCAGGGGAACTACTGCAGTCCAGTCCTATTCTCGTCCTTCTGTTACTGCTGCTCCTCATTCCAGGTTTTTGTGCTGCTCTTAAGAAGTCTGTGAAATAGGTGACTTTGTGTTTATATGACTTTCAGATATTTTGTGAAATTTGTAACAAATCTTCATGATCTGTGAAGAATGCAGTGTTTCATTCTTCAWCCTAAATTTTTGTGCTGTTTTGAAAGGAGTGATGTATTGTTTGCCATGGCCAGATTTGCATGGCTTCCTGGAACAGCAACGTTGGATGGATATGTTTAAGTTTGAGAATGGAGCTTCTTAAGAAGTTTTGATGTTCAAGAATAAAACTGCACAGTGCACTCGGTGTGTGTGTTGATGTTAAGATGATCTCATGGCACTCCATTAGYGTGGTGTGTCTTCAGCCAGCCTGTAGTGCAGGTCAGTAGCAGTGAAGAAGACAGAGTTGCTGTTGTGTGACCTGCAGATGTGCTGGTTATTGCTCAGAGCGTCTCTCTCGAGCTGCAGGTTGGCATCCTTGCAGCAGCACTGCTGGATGCTTTACTCCTTCAGCTCAGCAAGAGGTATTTCTTAAAATCCTACCTCTATAAACACGGCCAAATATGTCAATGAACCTTTGCTTTCTAGAATATCTAGAATACTCCAGAAATATTCTAATTTTGGGTGCAGAGGGAAACACTTTTAACTATTCAAGCACTATTTGGTTTTGCTAGTCAGCAGACAATCAGCCTGCAGCACAGTTTCGTGTGCCACTTCACAACAAATAAAAACAACATCACATGTCTCTGGTGTCCCATCCAACTGAACCTTTCATTTTGGAGCTGCTGGAGCTCCATGGTGAGATGTTGTTGCTCCTGTTGCGTTGAGCAGCAACAATTGCTGTTTTGAGTTCACCCACACCACTAAAACTTTTAACAGACACYGGCTTGGGAAAAGAGAGCAGTCCTTTGGCTAATGCAGGAGCACATTTGGAAGTTAGGTGTGCCCATGTGTTAGGATTAYTTCATTCACGCTTCTGTGCTGCTTGGCTGGGCTGCTGCTCTGGAGCAAARGCTGAGTGACTTTGTGTGAGCAGAGTCACCAGAGCTTCCTGCAGCGAGTCCAGCCTCTGTCATAAATCGCACTGGTTCACTCAATCCTTGCTTATCTAGCCTGGATAACTTGTGTACGCCTCTCCCCAAAACCGAGGGCAGSCTGAACGTAATTGCTGTTTTGATACTGCTGTTGTCTACTGGCTGGAGACAAGGTTGACCGCATAGGATTTTTCAGATACCTAAAATTTAGATATGCAGCTCTAAGAGCACAACAGTCTAAATCCATGACAGTCCGGTTTCCTCTGTTTTGAAGCCAAGCCTTGAGGGCATAATTCAAGGCAACCAACAGGAGCTGTTCTATATTTTGTGCAAGATAAGCAAGGAAAATTATCCTTCTCTTCAGTTTGCAGAAGCTGCTCTTAGCTACAGTTTTTGAGGATGAGAAAAAGGATGTCTTTTTATTTGGAATTAGTTGTAGTTATATCACAGTTTATAAGATGTAGTAACTGCTCTCGGATTGGGGAGGAGGGTAAAGTCAGAAGAGATGGACTGAGTATTTTTCTCATTCCTTTCTTATAAGAAATCTTTAATGTATTGTGTTTTAGAACTGAAGGTGGGGTAAGGAACAGTACTCTTCTGTGTAACCTCATTGTTAGCATAAAAAATAAAGAGAAGAGTAGGAAGTAAGTGTGTGTGAGAAAAAGGAATTAGAAACACTTCTCCAGCAGTAGGGCTGATAACATAAAACTGTGTGCTGGAATGAAGACCATGAAGGAAATTTCACCGATGTATTGAAGTTCTCTAGGCTTTCTAGATTGGCTGAATTGAAAGTACAATTGCTGCTTTTAAAGTATATTTYTGAAGTGTCCCTGCTAGAGGGAATTGCCTTGGTGCCTTGAGTGGCACCAGTCTTGATGCTTGTGAAAGAGATGGCCCTGCTCCCTCTTATTTCACATCTGTTCTTCTCATTTTGAGGGTGTCTGACCCTGCAGTGAGCCAGTTCAAGGTCAAGGAGTGACGGAAAATTACTTTGTGGGGTGWATGTCAGCTGGGTCACTCCCTCCTTGGTGTTACCTTGGGGTCAGCTCTGAGAGGAATGGTGGAAGTGTGAGGAGCAGCAGGACATCCCCTTCTGCAGCTGTTGCTTGGCTTGGTTCCACTGTCAGATCACACCCTGAGAATAGCAGCCCAAAAAGCATGAGGGTGGGCATGCCARCAAAGGAGTTGCAGGAACACACAAGTAAATAAGGCTGCCAATTTAAATATTCAGCAGAATCCATATAGTCCAAGCTGAGAGATGAGAGTATGACTTTTAGACCAAAGAGAGACTCCTCACTCCATGCTCTTGCTGAGTCCCCGCATCTCACCTGATTTACTGTGTGTGAAGCCAGCYCCATTAACTGGAGAATCCTTTGTCCTCGACACACTTAATCGCTGTGAAATCCTTCCTGGGGGTGACTGTTGCCATGTGAACATGTGTATTTGGAGAGCAAAAATGAGATTTATCGCTCTGTCACAAATGACTATTGTCAAAGCGTGATGTGTAGTCACAGGAGGATGCTTGCAGACTGGGAATCTGTGAGCAGGGTGCCATGGTGCAGGGTGCCAAGAGTGGAAGCTAAGCAGTGGATGTGCACGCTTAAAGAATGTGTGGACAGCAGAAATTGCTGTCTTTACAAAGCAACGAGTCTCTTCTGTCTGAGAAACCGTATTTTCTCCACTCTCCTCATCTCTTGCTTCTCATTATCAAACACAAAACCTACCATTAAAAGTGTAAAAGCTGGCCACCTAAAAGGATGACGATTTTAGCTGTTGCTAGAGGCTATCACGTGTAACACTTGAAAAAGTTGCTGTGGTAATACCAGGAGCTATCACTTTAGAGCTGAATTTTTTTATGGACAGTCCCTGGTTGTCTCACACAATGGAGAATGGTGTCTGTACACAGTAAGACAGAAGCTCTGCACTGTTTCTGCTTAGAAAASGAGATTTTGAAAAATAAGAATTAAAACAAAAACATAGCTACTGATGTCGTGCTAGGACTATAATGCTTGAGATTGTAGTGTTTTTTGTAGTAAGCAGTCATTTTGTGGTCTGGCTTCAAAAAGCATCTAGATTCGTAACAGTGGCAAAGAGGATTTTCAAATGTGTGAAGATTGAACCTGTCTAAACAYGTTTTGCCCGTTTTCTTAAAGATGACAAGATGCTCATCAACATTTTTAGGCACCTACACACATTTAAATACTGAGCTCTTTGATACTGAGMTGATGTAGGTGCGTAAGTGATTTGTTCAGGTGGATTGGCTTTTAACCATGTTCTTTGTTACCCTAGAAAAGGCATATTGTGTGAAGGCTCTGATGGTTTAGATAGATTTAAGAGAGTGAAAACAATCTGTGAAAATTGAAAAATTTCAGAACCCTTTTCTGTGAGTATTGAAGATCATCTGAAAAACATACTGCAATTTGACAGCAGACCAGCTTTCTTTCAATTGCTGTCTTGTCAAATGGGCAAGAAGATTAGAATCGGGATTTGCTTCYAAATATCTTCAATACTGAATAATTAAAATAGCTGAAGGTTTTTAAAATCAAAAATGGACTGTGCAGTTCAGCAAAAAAGGTACCTATTACCAGAAGCAGAGCCAAGACAGACTGGGATTCCCCCATGCTAATTACCAGCTCTAACTTCTGGTATTTCTGGAAATGCCTATTTGTTGTACTGTTATGCAGGGGGTTGGGAAGTTTGYAGTTCTAATGAAAATTTCTGCTTTCTGGCCTTTGCTGTAATCATCGTTGCTTGAATCTCAAAATTATGAGGCAGTTAGGCAAGTTGTAGTGTAAAATCTCAGTCTTAATGTATACATTATGCTAATTAAGGCTCGGCATTTCTTTTTAATGCCAAATGTTCTAAGCAGTCAGTTTCCATTTAGCAGTTTTTAAAGTACAAAAAGCTCAGCTGCTTGGGATCTGGAATGGAAAGACTGCTGGGATACATTCAGCTGAAATCTGTGTTCTTGTGTGCTTTGGGCAGAATGCGTRGGAGAACAAAACTTGGGTGGGGCAACTTAAAAGTAATAACAAAGGATCTTCTGCAAACAGSCCTTAAATTGCTGCCTCCTGAAAGCTACAATCAACAAAAAAAAAGCATGTGCTTGAAATCTGCAGTTTCTCCTTTGTTCATACACGCATACATACTTTCTTTCAGGATAAATTGTGACAAAACCCCCCCACTTACAAAGTTCACTCTGGCAAAAATGCAAAATGGCAGTGTTGTTTGACCATTGTGCTCAATTATTTAGAAAACGA